GGGCGGGGCTCTGCCGCGAGCCTTCCGGTTTCTCAGAATTGCACCGCCTCTTTTCAGAGGTTGGGAATACGCAGTTCACCCAAGCCAGCCGGCGCTCTCCGTAGTTGCTGGCAACTGCAGCCCAGTATTTTCTCGCTCCAGTTCTCTCTCTTAAGAAAACCCTGGCGGTAAACTAGCCACGTTCCTAGATGTACTGTCCCTCACCCCTCTAAAATGTCCAATAACCTACAGAGAGTCTTCCTGAAACCCGCTGAAGAAAATTCAGGCAACGCCTCGCATTGGTAAGTACTGGTTTTGAATCTCCACGCGCCTGCCCCTCGCCGATCTCTCAGCAGGACTCCAGTCCGTGTTGTTCCCTGATCTCTGCAACTGAAAGGCGTCGGTCCCCGCGGGTGCGCCGCTCTTGGGGGAAACGCTTGTCACTGCCGAACCGGCGCTTTGAGAGCGCTTTCTACTCGGAAAGTAAACCTCCTTGGAGCCCGAGGCAGTTTGCCATTGCCCGGGCTGCGCAGGACTCCAGTGGCTCAAGTTTCAAAGGCAGAGAGTAGAGCTCCACTGGAGAGGAAAACTAACATGGCCGACACTCTTGTGTGGCCAAAACGTTCTCGAAGATTCCAGGCGGAACACACGCAGCCGTCAGTGCGAGTAGCAAGTGCAACCCTGGGGGCGCTGGACCTCCAGTGAAAATAGTCACATTTTTGAACGGAACTTGTTCTAAAACAAGAAAATCAGTATTTTAAAATTTCAGATAATAGCTTTATATGATGAGAAAAAGATGGAGAAATTCACATGTAAAATCAAGGGGTTCGGACAGTGTATTTGAAGCAGGTGTGATGAGAATATCGTGTGTATTGAGGAACAGTGCTTGACATGATATTTTCGTATTTTTATAATGACATTCTTGTAAATTTAGAAAGTAGATAACTTTTTTAAAAGCATCGAAACGGGAACAGCTATTTAAGCAGAATGTTTTAACATAGTACTTGCCGTGGTGAGTAGGTGTATTATATACGGTGAGAAAAAGAGGAGCCAATAGGTGTGCAGAAAATGAACAGAGCATGGAAATTAAAATTAACAAAAGTTATGAAAGGAGGTTAATTCGTATTTGAAGAAAATCAGGCTGCCTGGTATTAATCCCATCGTGCCCATTAGTGTTTATGAGACCAAGTGCCACAGTGTCCAATCTGTAAAAAGTATTTTAAGAATTAAAAGATTGCGTATATGTAAATTATTTAGCACAGGAAAAAAGTACAGAGCTATAACTAATACGTTAAAGAATGCATATTTAATTATGTACAAATTATAGATTATTCTCTACTAATTGTAGCTCAGGACACATGTTTATTTTAATTACAAGTAGATACAAAAACTATGATGGAATAACTTTTTTTTTTTTTTTTTAAAGACATGGTCTCACAGTGTTGCCCATTCTGGCCTCAAAGTCCTATTCTCAAGTGATCCTCCTGCCTCAGTCTCCCTAATAGCTGGGACTGTAGGTGCTTGCTATTGTGCTTTGTGTAATGGTGATTCACTTTTTGTTTTTTGGTACCAGGGATCCAACTCGGGACCTTCCTCTTACTAGGCAGGTGGCGGAATGAATCCCTGGCCCTTTGCTGTTTTTTTAATTTTTTAAAAAAACACTACAAATTGAATTATGTTTTGGTAACATTCATAAGTCTTTCAAGTTCATTAGACACATTTGTTTACACATTGTTTTCTTTATATTTACACCCATTTATTTCTTGATCACTGAGTGCTTACGTGATATATTTTGAACATTTATAAGATCTTTCTGAAGTTAACACTTTATTGGTTGAATAATTAATTATATTCTGTTTTATTTTAATAACATGTATGACATTCAAATATAGGTATGTAAATATTACCTCTATTGGGAATTCAATTTTCTGATTTTTTTTTTTTTTTGGTGGTTCTGACTCGTGGCTTTATTTTCTATAGATATTTGGATTTTTATTGAGTAACTGCTCCTTTCCTTTAAATTTTTGTTCCTTAATATTGATAATAGAATGTTTTTTGCTTGAAGTATCTGATTCATCCAGGCATAAAATGTAAAACCCACATTTAATCTTGTAAGTGGAAAGGAAAAATGTGGAAGATGTTTGTGTATTTAGGTTTGCATTGATACCTCTTTATGTATATGATAGACTATGCTAAATAGGGAAGTGAAGAATAGAATACCAGCCATTTTAATAAGAAAATTTATAATGCTGTGGGTACTCAGGAGAGCTGGTGTAACAAGTTTTATATCCTTATACAAAGGAAGGTAGAGAGGAAGGGAGTTATAAAAACGTTTCAGGCGTGGCTTACTTAGACAGTCTTGCAGTTTGCACAGTTGAAGGTAAATGCAGTGCATATCCAATCAGGAGGAATTAATAAATGAAACCAGCTGTATGGTTTATTAGTAACAATTGGGACTTGCTTGATTTTGAACTTAAGGTTTTGATTTGCCTTGCTAAAAATACTGGACTTCATCTATTAGAAATTGTTCAAAGGATTTTGAAAATTGACATGGTTAAGTGTATATTTTATATAACTGATGGTAGTGTAGATTTGGGGGTGGAGTTTCATGAGTAAGGATTCTATTTGAGGTGCCTTCTCAGAGATTTGGGGAGCCAGAACAGGCAAATACAGAATAAGGATTGGATTCAAAGAAACAGAATGGAAAATAGACCTTGTTAGCAAATTGTCATGAAGAAAGAAGGATCAATTACAGTGCTGTTTTTCTGAGTGGAAATTAGTGAATTAACTGAGATGAAGAACACTATACATTAAGAAAACAATCAGAAAGACATTAATCTGAAACTCGCACAGGGTCAGCCCTGAAAATAGAGATTTATGAATTACTGGATTAGAAGTATAACCAAAGCCTATGATTATATTCCACAGCAATAGGAATTGGGATGTCATGTTAACAGTTGGCATCTATCTGCTCTTAAACCTTCTGTTTTCAGATGTCCAGCTGAAAGTTCTGTCCTCAGCAGGGAGCTTGGTTTTGTTAGAAAGATAATGTATCATAATCAGTTCAGTGTACTCAGTTGTGCACGTTTTATTGTGTTTAATTTTATGATTTGTATAAAAATGGTCAGGAGAAACAAACATTATGCAGGCTAAGTGAAATCTGTCATTAAGCTGTCGATTTCTGTGTGTGAATTTTTGAATCCTATCTGGTTATACTAAATACAGAATTGGGTAGGATTGTTTAAAAATACGTAATCTGTATAGGTTATTTAATATTTGAAATGTTCCCCATTTCTCAACTCTAAAATGTGTTTTTTTTTTTTTTCTTTTTTTTTGGTTTTTTTTTGAGACAGGGTCTCACTTTGTAGTTGAGACTGACCTGGAACTCACTATATAGCCCAGACTGGTCTCGAACTCAGTCTCCCAAATGCTGGGATTACAGGCATGCGTCACCACACCTGGCTGACTAAAATGTTAATCACAATAACTTCTTTGCTGCGCAATGAGGATTAGAGTTATTGAGAACTATTATAATGGTGTTACTGCATTCTGTATATTATAAAACTAGGTATTTACATATATTATATGTATGTATATAATGTTGTAGTAGGACACAAAAGGGTCCCCTACCAGTTGAAAAAATGAATTTTGCAAAAATATCTATAAAATATTCATTAACCTTCAAAGTTTTTATTACTCGTTTTCTCATGCGTGAATGCTTCATATCAATATTAATAAAAATGGTGCAAATTAGATAATATCAGTAGGTTTAAAAGTTCTTTTTTATAAAAATATTTTTGAGATTGATTTTTGCTATATTGACCAGGCTTGTTTTGAACTCCTATACTCAAGCAGTCCTCCCACTTCAGCCTCTCTAGTATTTGGGATCACAGCTGTACACTGCCACAGTTAGCTTGAGGCTTTTTTGTTTGTCATCTCATTTTCAAAAGGTCTATCTGATTCATTTTCTTATTTTTGGACCAATTATATATTTTAATGAAAAATGGTAACTGTTGTGTTCCCAGGCAGTAAATTCATTTTATTTCTTCCATCCTTTCTTCCTTTCTTTTTTATTGGTACGTCGGATCACATTTGGGACCTTGTACTTTCAAGGCAGTGGTACCACTGAGCTAAATCCCTGGCCCCAGTTAATTCATTTTCTTACATAACCAGCCTTATTTTTCTTCCCCACTTACAAATGAAAAGGATTTGAAGGGGTTAAGTAAATTTTCCAGTCAGTCATTTTAATAAGTTGAGAATTAGAGGTTGTATTCTCTCTGATAGATCTCCGTTTTTTCTTCTAAAATCTTTAAATTATATTACTTTTTTGTGTGTATGTGTGTGCTGGGCATCAAACTCGGGACCTTGTGCTTGTGAGGCAGGCAGAGACATCACTATGCTAAATACCCAGCCCTAATGTATATTACTTTTAAAGCTTTTTTTAGTGTATATTAATTACACAGAATAATGGGTTTCATTTTGGCATATTGGTATTCATTTGGCATATGATATCATTTGATTATTTTCATGCCCATTTATCCCTTCTTTCCTTCTTCTCTCACCCTATCCCCTTCTTCATATCTATTAGTTGGCCTTCTATTTAACATATATGTTGCTACACCAATAAACTTAATTAATAATAATAAAAAAATGAAGGGCCTCCTAATGTGTATGTTTTTTTCCAATACAGTTTCTCAGTTCAAATAACAGCTAGTTTGAAATAGCTACACATAGTTGATTCTTTTAAAATGATCAATCTAGAGCAAAGGATGCAGAATCTGATTCTAGTTTTAGTTCTGACATTAGCCAGAATATGATCTTTAAGAAAATTAAAATCTTTGTAAGATTTTAGTTAATCTCTTAAATGGCAATTTTCTTTTTATACCTGAAAAAAAAATAGAGTGTAAGTTTCACCCTGATTTATCATTTTTTTCTCTGTAGAATTCTGTATTTGTTTTAATTCTTAGAACTCATTCTCTTTTGTTTCCAGGAAGCCATGGATTTAAAAAAAAATTATAGTTTGTAAGATTCAATTCAGTGAACACCATCTGTAATATTTTTTGCTGTATTAGATACAGAGGACATAGATATGAATAGAATAACCTATTTTTATGGAATTAATGGACTATAGTAAATTACATGAATCTCTACTGATTTGGAAGAAACTGCATTTCTCTTTTTGGAAGGGAAATGGAGGAAGGGGAAATTAGTGATATGAAAGTATGTGTAGTAGTCATAAAAATGTCATGTGTATAATAGAAACACAGAGAGTATCTGATGTAATCTGTGAAGTATCAGAAGT